CGCCCAAGACAGCCCCAAGAGGCGCCCAAGAGGCCTCCAAGAGGATCCCAAGAGGCCCCCAAGAGGCCTCACGAGGACCTCCTGTTCTTCCTCCTCCTCCTCCTCCTCCTCCTCCTCCTCCTCCTCCTCCTCCTCCTCCTTCTCCTTCTCCGACGACGACGACGACGACGACAACCTCTTGGGGTATATGACGGCTTCCCACGCCCCTCGTTCTTCTGCATGCCCCCCCACTTCCCTGATCACCTCAACTCCCCTGGGCATCGTTTCTGGATGGGCTGGTGGGGATGCGCGAAGCGTCAACAACTTTCTCGTAACGTCGACCCCCCGAGGTCTCGCCACACTCCCCAGGACCGGTTTCCGTCCTGAGTCGTTTCTAGACGGTCCCGAAACCCAGTGAGGGCCCTCGGAGGTCGAAAATAGTGAGAAAGCCTTCCGTCCTGATGTTCGTCATGACCCGAGGGGGCATGGGTAGGTCGAACGATACTGGGTGTCAGGAGAGCCAAAAATCGGATCGACAAGTCGGATCGGAAGTCGGCGGAAATCGGCAGCCGTCGGGGAAAGTCGAATCGGCGGAAATCGGCAGGCTAGTGTGCGTCCAATAAGAAATCGGAACCGAAATCCGAATCCCAAGTGGAATCGAATCGGAATCGGAATCCATCGAAATCGAATCGAACCGAATCGGAGGAATCGAAACGAGCCCTGGGGTGTGCGCGCATTCGGGGCGGTGGCGCACCGGCGCAGCGCGGAGGGCGACCTGCGCGCCGCGGCCGCCTCCGCAGAGAGGCGCGGGGGCGCCAGCGCGCCGGCGGCGGCGCCCACCCTGGCCGCAGGGCAGGGCGGCCAAGAGGCCTCCAAGAGGCTCCCAAGAGGCCCCCAAGAGGCCTCACGAGGACCTCCTGTTCTTCCTCCTCCTCCTCCTCCTCCTCCTCCTCCTCCTCCTCCTCCTCCTCCTCCTCCTCCTCCGTCCCCGTCCTGCCATGTAGGAAGGCACCAACTATACACCAACATCGATCCTGGCCAGGATCACCCTGGGCCCAGGATCGGTGTGTACGCCCTCCTGCCCTGGGCAAGAAGGTATATATACACCGATCCTGGGCCCAGGGTTATCCTGGGCCAGGAACGGTGTTGGTGTATAGTTGGTGCCCTCCGGCCATCCCTTAGGATGGCTACCACTGGGAGGTTTTCGTCGGAAAGACGAAGGAGGATGAATCCCCATTTGGGAGCGGTTGCGCCAGAGTGGGCCTCGGACTAAGCAGGATCAAGACGGATTAAGACGGACTAAGCGGGATCAAGCCAGATGAAGCGGGATCAAGCCTACATGGCACGGGTCTGTCCTGCCATGTAGGAAGGCACCAACTATACACCAACATCGATCCTGGCCAGGATCGCCCTGGGCCCAGGATCGCCCTGGGCCCAGCCCCCTTTGGGAGCGGTTACTCCACAGTGGGCCTCGGGCTAAGCAGGATCAAGACGGATCAAGCGGGACTAAGCTGGATCAAGCGGGATTAAGCCGGATTCAGCCGGAGTCAGCCGGCTTTCGGACCAGGGCAAACCAGAATTTGACCTCCCAGGAGTTGCATCCGAACATCCCTCCCCTGAGAGCTGGTCAGATGCCCCCGAGGTCCCTCCAAGAGGCCCCTGCGGGGCAGTCCAGGAGACCCTAGGAGGAGGAGGACGAGGACGACTTGGAGGAGGAGGAGGAGGAGGAGAAAGACGAGGAGGAGGAGAAGGAGGAGGAGGAGGAAACCTGGCTTCCAGGACGGTCGGCCGACCTACTTGTGCCGTTGCGCGTATTCGCCGTCACGCCTGTGGGCGCTGCGCAGCCTCGCTGTAGCGGCACGGCAGTAGCTGGGGACCTGTTCGGGGTCTCTGGGGGCAATTGTTTGGGACCTCTCGAGGGCCTCTTTTTAGTGTCGAAAGCTTCTTGAAGACTCCATGGGGCCGTTTGGTCAGGTCTTGTGGTAATGGCGGAGGGGTTCTCGGGACTTCCCGGGAAAGTTCGGGGCCCGTATTGTGAAGTCTTTGGGCTCCCACTGGGCCGTCTCAGGGCTTTCTTTTACGGAGTCTTCGGCCACCCGGAAGCTCCGCTGGGTCCTAGGCCTGGGTGGAGGGATTGCTTGGGTGCTGTGCAGGGTCGCCGAGCCGATTCCCGGTGGCACGGTGCTGTGAGCGGAGGCGTTCGGGTCGTCCTGTGGCCGCCAGGGGAAGGTCAGGAAGTGGCCGTGGGCTCGCTTTGAGCTGGGTTGAGCTGTCCTTTCGGGGGATGTCTTCGGCCGTTTGGGGCTGGCGGAGGAGCAGCTAGGAGGGCAGGGTGGACACCAGGCGGCCTCCCCTCCGCACCCCCACAGTCTAGCTTCTTGCTGCGCCCCGGCTCTGGGAGACGGACATGCTGCAGGATCACTCGCAGGGAGCCGGAGCTTGGAGGCATGTTTGGGTAGCGCCAGGTCTGGATATTGTCGAGATCGATCGTAAGAGTGGACAACCTTCCCAAGGGTACCCTTGCCTCCTTGCCTCCTCGGTCCCTCCTGAACCCCTGTCGATGGCCAGCCCCGCGAGGAAAGCTTCTACATGCGCGTCCAGAGGGCTTGCATCCTTACCGCGCGTCCTTAACTACCGCGTGACTCCCTGTGACTCTCGAACGCTGCTCGGTGCATGGTGCCTCCGAGGGCGCTCAGACAGCGAGGACTGGCGGCACGCGGGGGGCAACTTAATCATGACATTCAGCTGCAACGAGACCTTCGGCCTCGCATTCGCCATAGAGTGGTTCAGGGTCGGCAAGCTGCCCTAGCAGCTTCTCGCCCCCCTCCGAGCTGGGCGAGCCAATGCGGGCAGGGGCGGCACGCGCGGCTGGCAGAAATCCACCACTGACAAGTCTGATCGGCGCCTCGTTCACTCGCTGATCGTCTCGCGCCAACGGCCCACTTCGTCCTCGAGCCAGCCCGCTGGCGCCAACCATTTGCGGTGAACCGCCACGCCCTCGGCCCGCAAGGCCCTCTGCATGAGGGGCCGCCCCTCCCAGCTGGGGGCGCCGACTATGACCTTCATAGTCTGCGAACCGCGGCAGCTCCCTAAGCGCGCGAAACTCACGGCGCTCTCCTTGGCGGCTTTGTCGATGTCGGGCTCTGCCTCCGCCCCCGATGGGCAGCGCTTCAACAGGCACGCATTGTTGCCGTTCTTCGCCGCGCCGCCAGCGTCGCACATCATCAGGCCCTCCAAGGCCACCAGCGCTAAGCTCGCCGCGGGGGTGCCGATCTCCTATATCCTCTTCTTCCCCATCGGCCCCCTGCGTGCGAAGAGAATCGAGCAATCCTTTGTACCCCATCGAGCTCCTCGGTGATCTTGATCACCATGTTGCGATTCGTCGGCATCGTGCATGTGTCTATCCAGACGGAGGAGGCGAGCCGCTTCTTGTGTGCAGTCTGCAGCACGAGTTTGAGTGTCGCCTGGAGCGGCGCCAGTAGGTTGTCCTTGCTGGTCCATGTCTTGACCTGATGCTCGCCTCGGCGGGCTCCCCCCCCGCCCTGGCGCTTCGGCATTCTGCGTCGGTCGCCGTCCTCCTCGCCCTCGTCCTCCTCGGCCGCTGCCGCTGCTCCTCGAGGCGGCGGAAGGCCCGCAAGCCTGGGCTTGGCCGCTGGTGGCGAGTGATCCCTCGGCTCTTCCTGAGCTCGGCCTAGATCCTCGCGAAGCCTGGGGGGAGCTCAGGGGGCGGCGCCACGCAGCCCTCGCAGGGGGTAGAGCCTTCGCCTTCGCCGGGGTCGCCGCTGCCAATCGCGTCCACGCTGGGGCTGGGGCTGTCGCGCCCGCAGTCGATGTTGCTCTAGAGGCACCAGCACTGAGCGGTTTCGCTCGAGCAGGTGCCTTGACGCGAGCTGGCAGTAGGAGTCGGTCGGCAGCGCGTCCCAGCCCGCGCCCGGCAGCCAATTGCGCCCCCCGCAGCTCGTGGGGGGCGCGGCGAGGGCGACACTGCGGAGGGCCCACTCGAATGTTGGGCGGCGGTGCCACCAGCCCCCGTGCGAGAAACGGCCTTGAGCAACGAACCCGATGGCAACGGAGGAATGTGGGTAGCTACGCGTTGCCGTAGCTCCCCAGGATCATAAAGTTCAGGAACACATATAGAAACCATTTGATACGCAGCTATAGGGCATGTCGTACATGCTAAATGTGTCCATGGATATACATGATGCATCCTTTCCGCGATACACCTACCATGTAGCCATGATCGTCGCAAGTGTCGCACAGCGCGATCTACGCTAGGGAACGTCGCATAATACACAACGCACTTGTTGTCATACTGTAGGTTTGTTAATACGAGGGGGGCTGCCCATGTCCATCAGTTTGCCTCTAGTTTGATGGTTTACCAACTGTCGCATTGTACCATGCCGAAGACCGCACCCAGGGAACCCACATCCGAAAGGAAGAAAGAACTCATCGCCGCTGTCGGTCTCAGCCTGCTGATTCTGGGATGGGACGGCCGCAGAGATCGCATTTCCCTCGGGGGGGGGGGGGGGGGCGGGGGGCCCACCCGCATGTCCGGGAGCCTGCGCGTAGCGCTCGTATAACACATAGAATATAATAAAAGCGCCACGAATGTCATCGTCGATCCAAAGTTTTTCAATCGTCCTCGGTTGCCAGAGTGATCCGCCAACCGAATGCGAGCTGAGGCACTCGAGGTCAGCCGAGAGCTGGCGCGCCCATGGATGGGCACGCTCGTCGATCTCGCCCTGCTCATTGAGGGCGGAGACAAACACAGGCGGTTGCTTGCGGCCGCCTGCTTCTCAAAATCACATCTTCCGAAAAAGACCGCGAGGAATTGGCCACGGCGGCTGCCGCCGCTGATAATGCCCTGCCACAGTCTGAGACGCCGCTGACAGTAGGGCCCACTTGCCTCTCGAAAAAAATCTGGAGCGCTGTCATCGATCGATGATGGCCATCAAGGTCCTGGTGATGCGCAGCCCCGGCAGCGTGGCTCGTAGCGTTTTTTTTCTCTGCTAGCGCACAGTCTAGTCGGCGTGCCCCACGGGGGCGCAATATATAGCTCTCGAGCGAGGCCAGACCAGACGCGGCCCGCGACGTTCGACAGGAACGACAACCTTCTGTTGCCCAAGGCCCCTTGGAGAACCAGTATTAGTCACCCAGTCTAGCCCACCCGACGTTGCATGATATGATACGTTCGTGCAGTTCACGCTGCGAGTGTAAAGATACTTGCATATGCCCTCCCAAGCGCAAGAGTTCTTGGACCAGCTTACCCGAAATACGTCGCTCATCTTCCTTAGCAGCCGCCCGGCTGGCTAGGCTGACAAAGGAACCCTGCCTGTGAATGTGCTGCGCATACCCCCCGCATTGTAGTGCTCTAGATAAGCCGGAATTGTCGATCTCATCTAGAAGCAAGGCCAGGCGGGCGGCCCCGTGGGGGGCCATGATAGACTTGAATAGGTCGTCGGAGAAGGCATCCAAATGCCCAGGGAGAACCTACTCGGCGAATTGGCGAACCACTTGAAAAGGCCCCCCCTGCACTTCAGCCACCCCCTGCTCCCACTCCTCCACTAATCGATAAAATGGTTGCATGACAAGCCCGGGCTCGTTTGAATCCCCCGCCCCCCCTCCTGTGCCTGACCGAAGTGCGCGGGTGGCACCAGAGGCCTGAATAAAGACAACTGCATTGGCACGGCGCTGCTCCGGCAGCGGATGGAAATCCGCGGAATTGCATCGCACAGCGCGCGCAGCAGAAAGTCGGGCATGCTCGCCCGCGGCGAAGGCATTGCGCACGTCGTAGCTCTTGGCCTTAAAAGATACGATTGCTGCTCTCAGCCTCCAGATCAC